CCACCTAGGGCGTCGTCGCTTGTGACTGTCGAACTATCGTCAAATTCAGAAGACTGACACAGAACCGCCCAAGGTGAAATGGCGGAAACGGACCATTGGTACCCACGTCATTAGCTTCAAAGGGTCTGCGCATATTTGCCTTGGAGAGGAGCGCTCGTATTGCGAGGGTCACTGGCGAGTGTCCGGCAAAGCGACTTTTCAGAAGATGAAGATACGCTCACTGGAACCAGAAATTTATTTGCCTGACGTTTCGGATTCTCACTCGAGTCCATCATCAGAGACATTCGCAAAGCGAGTTTTCTGTATCAACACCGTTACAGGCCGCCGCATGACTTATGCACAAAACGGCGCTATAGAGATACTTAAAGAAGGAGACACGATCGCTGGGACAAGAGCTTTATTAGCATGACGTTTCGGATTCCTGCTCGAACCCATCATCAGAGACAAAAGCAGATAAGGGCGATTCATGCATAAGGGGGCTGTAGTATTTATAGGATGCAGTCGCCATACTACCGCATACCTATGAATATTCACGGCTCCCCTCTTCATCAAGGATCGTTGCACGTTGTATGATGACTGTTTGATGGCCGACATTTGCGTGGTTAATTGCTGCCACTTCATCACGTGCGTTGGATTTTAGTGTGATGATTGCTCGACCATGTGACGCACCGACCCTGGTGTTGGGAAAAGTGATCACCTGTGCGCTCTCCGCGTGGCCCATTACTCCGCCTAGGCAAAGTCTCAGCACCGAATATTGAATGGGAAGATCGTTGCACTTGTTAACAGACTGGGGGCCAGTAAACCATGACTCAATCAGCTCCCTGCTCAGGCGGTTGTCACCTCTTGTGAGAATTTTGGCCTCGTGGAATTTGAAGGTGTGTCCGAATCTCGTCGAATGAGCCGCAACTTGAGAGCTGGCGTCATTTCTCCGCACCGCTGCTGTGTGTTCGGCCATTTGCGTTCGGAGTTATCTTTCGATTTCTCCGACGTAGTTGCTTTGTCCGCAACTGCACCAGATCCAAAAAGCGATTCCAGACGTTTCATGCAGTGGCAGCTGGTTTTTTGATTTCATTAACTGACGCCTGATGGTTGCCTCCGGTCTGTGTGCAACTCCAACCGCAAGTGGTACGAGAAGGCGGCCGACAGCTTCCGAAACGTCCTTGACATACGGAAGCGACTGCCAAAATTTGGCGTCCGTGCGGTTAGGTCTTTCGTCCCTTTTGCGTATGCACCGGCTGACGAAATTGCGTGGGTAGCCATTGGCTTTGAAGACCCGTCGGAGGTATTGTAGTTCGGCAACTTTGTCTTCCGGCTCACTGCAGTGCGTTTCGACACGCCGATAGAGCGTCCTTACACAACTGCGTTTGTGCCCGATTGGGTGGTTACTATTGAAGTTCAGTACTTGCATCGCATTTGTTGCTTGCCTGAACACTTTGGTCTTTAGTCCATCACAATCTTTCCGGCATACGAGGACATCCAGGAAGGCCAGCTGGTTGTTCTCTTCCTCCTCCATCGTAAATTATATGTCGGGGAAGACTGTATTCAGATGTTCCTTTGATGTCAGCAGTTGGTCCCTGTCGATATCGATGAAGGTATCATCCCCATACCGGGCCCAGAACTTCGGTATGTGGTGTTGGAAGACCAGCGAAACGTCAGGCTAATAAAGCTCTTGTCCCAGCGATCGCGTCCCCTTCTTTAAGACTGCTTCCTGGGACTAGTCTCTTCGCTTCATTTGGATACCTTCGAAACCCCAATGAATAGCTCTAAATCAACTAGACGTAGTTGGAAGGGCTTTCTAATTACCGCGTGAACTGGCGGAGCAGGAGGCCAAAGAGATGTGATGGTTTTGCAAGGCTTGGACTAACATCGACATCGTCCGCATTGAGAAATGGACGATTCGACTGCTGCGTCCTGAACTCCCGTTGCCTGATGTTCTGATATGCTCATACACTCTTCGTCACAGAAGGCAACAGGTAGAATTGGCTACCACATGCACTAATAGCTTGGCTGCCATTGCGCAAATCGTCCATGGTCTTGGTTCCGTCATGGACAAGTTGAACAGTCATTACTGTCATCTGAAGCACTGTTTTTCATGTGACTCATTGCTCTGTCTAGACACTAAGGATGCTAGATATGGTGGGAAAATTATTGTGTTTATTCGTGAACTGTGTAGCGAAGAACCACGATTCCGGCTGCCTGTAACTTGCGCGACTATCAGTCTTCCAAAACATTAGCCTCGTCGAACGCGAAGATGTGATCAGGTCTCGATAACTGAGCGCTCTTCCCCCCTTTTAGTTGACGTCTTTTGATCATCCGCGTCAGAACTGATTCTCCTCTTTCTCCGTTGCACTGAGGTTGTTCGTAAACAAGCGTGCTCCTGTGAATATGTTTTTTCATCGTAACTCCCCCCTCCCAGGCGTCAGTTGGCGATAGTCCCTCCTGTCATTGCGACGCAGGACTCGCGTCGACTTTGTTCGACACTTTCGGCTAGACGGAAACGTTCACATAATCAGTCCACCTGTCATACCGCAAAATATTACCATTATCATCGCCGCTATCACCCCTGCCACTTGTGACATTTCGACCGACGATGTCCATCGAGTGCTACACATCAAGCTGCAACAGGCACGGTGACTTGCGCGTGAGAAAGCTTGTAGTGATAGCAGACTTGCGCAGCATCTACCACACTCCCTCTCTTCCCCACCCCCCACCTGGACCCGGTGTCAAGACAGAGTCAAGAAGGCCGGAGGTAGGGGAGGGGTCGGTGGCTGACATGGCTGCGTTTGCACCTAGGTGTGCCACCACACCCCCTGCTTCACAACATACACTTAACCAAGACTTTTCACCAACAACAGCATCACCCCCACAGGGTTCAGAAGGACGGATATGATGACTGGGCAGCCATGTCTACCACCTGTATACCCAGCGGGAGCGCAAGCGAATCTACCGGAAGGGAATCCGGTTGCAGGGAACTACAAACGTATACCAGGCTGCGAGGGCCATGGTTTGCTAATACTGACATAGCACGCTTTCAGTCTTTCTGATCCCTGCCAATTACCTTCACGGTAACACGTTCTGATCAGGGGTTTGCGCTGAGCGAACAATTTTAGGAACATCACCAGCGCATACGCCTCTTCCGAACATTCATCGGCCGGATCGGTCAACCGAGGACTTATCACAGCCTGAATAGACGCCCAAACGCCAGAAACTGCGATCAATAAAACATAGCACATCATTCGACGCATTATTGGGAGGATGACTCGTCACGCAGTCCATTACATGATTGTATGGCCAACTATTTTTCAAGTTACACTTCAACAGCTTTGCGTAAGGCGACCCAGTTGTTGCATGAGATGATAAAAAGGGACTATTTTTAGCTAAGTAAACGTTTTATTATGAAAAAACTTAAAGATGATGTCAAGTAATAGAAACTGGTCCGAAAATGGCTGCCCCAGACTTATAGAAATACTCGCATGATAATGCTACCGCTTGAATTCAAAAGTAGACATTCCTGTTACTTCACTTAGAGTTTAAAAAACCACTGCTCCTGTCATTTATTGGGCTAATAAGTTCTGATACACTCAAAGCACTCCGGACTAATTAAATATTCTCGTTCAGTTGACCCCTCGGCCGGTAAAGCCCGTTTTTGCAATATACATGTCCGGATGACATTCACAATAAATTCCCGATTGCGTTAAAACCAAGCTCAGAGATAGCCAGGTCATCATATTGGTTTCGTTACTTCTTACGCACGCTCTCGTCTTCTGGTCCATAGGTATACTAAAGTTGTCTCGCTGAAACACCATGAACCCATCTCTGCATCAATTTGAAATGAGGAGTAGCCGAGTAGAAAGTGTCTGAATGCATGGCCGAACATCTTGGTTTCCCTAAACAAATAATAAACTCAACTTCTTGCATCAGTGTCCCCAAATCATCACTCAGTCTTCCCAACAGTTTCATTGCCTAGATCGTGTCAAATATGGTTCTAACCGTCTAAATCATCTAGATTAAGCTTAAAATCATTGAGGAAGACCCCCTACGCCACTGATTTGATCAGGTGACGTGATCCTCGTCGAAACACACATGTTGTTCCTTGTAGAAATCTAAGAACGCCCGATTTCGCCGAAGCTTCTGATAAATGAATATCAAAGTTATCTCCAAGATCCTGGGCATCGTAGACTTTGAAAACTTCAGCGTAATATCTCGGCTGCCGGTAGGTGGGCTACCGCTTTACGTAGCGTCTAGTCCCTCTTCTTTCTGGTTGGTTTCTTCTTGCAGTTACCTTACTGAGACACCAGACGCAGATCTCTGCAGTGGCCCAAAGGAGAGAAGTCGAGTAGGAAGTGCTTGAATACATGACTGGGTATTTTGGTTTCCCTGCACAACCCCCAATCTCAACTTCCTGCTCCCAATGAATGCCTCCGGATCATTAGTCGACCGCCCTAGGAAACGAACACTGTGGTTTGTCGTAGAGCTCCGCATGTAATCAAAAACGTCCTGCAGATGAGGACTGAATGCAGCAGAATACCCATTTCAGGCATAGTAATATTCACCAGGCAGTAATATCACAAGCGCGGTTCCGAGCGCTCCCAATATTCGTTATCTAGATTTATTAGGTTTCTGTCCCCGGCCCCAAATGCAACTGCCAACGTTCTGTCCACCGTCGGGATTGGATGATGTCTGACTTTGACGGCTACTAAGCCAAAAGTGCCCTGGTGGTAATCCCCAGCATCGTTTACTAATTGATCAGAATGCATGTTTTGGACACTTAAATTATGGGACTTTGTTTAAAAGTAGAATTTTGCACATTCTTCCCTGTGATTTCTGCAGAACGTCGTAAGCGTCCATTCGCTCTCTCTCGAGAACCCATGTAGAACAAATAAAATCTGAGGTTAGTTCGACTCTGCTTATGCGTTTAACATGGATAATGGAGAGAGAGAAGGAAGTCTACTGTTCTCAAAACGTGGATGGGCTAGATTTCGGTCTGAATTGTATCTTCTTCAGACGACGGGTCGATTCGCCCGCGACCGGGCGGGAGAGGGCGTCTCCGGCTGTCCCCCGTTCCACTGCCAGGGGAGGCAAGCCAAAAGACGCGCTTCGCTTCCGTCCAATCCAGGATTTACAGTCCCAGAAGGTGCCTGCAAGTGCACGAAATGACTTTAGCCCACAAATTCTGCACAGGAGAAACTGCAGCTACTTTTGGCGCAAGTCTATGTCTTCAGATGTTGCCAGAAGTGTGCTATGTGCTTCAGTAAAAACGCACGCACGCACAATGTACGCAAATGTTGTAGGAATATGCGATCAGGACAACGAGGCCTTGGCTCAGTGGTTAGAGGCGTTAGAGCGCTAACTAACAGGTCGCGGGATCGAGAACCAGGATTTGGTAATGCTATTCTGCCTATATTATGCGCCGCTGTGGGTTGTTGGTTGAGCTCGAGAGAGAGCTCTAAGGTTCAACAGGACGAGTGAGTTCCACAACACGATCGGTGGGCCCCCTCTACCATATTCGATCGAGCTCAAGCTCTGGAAAGCATTCTGACGCAACTTCAACAGCTTTAGTAAGCATGTCATGTGCACCGAGCTCTTCTGTTGCTTATAAGTGAATAGCCACGTTTCAGTTTATTTGAGGGAAATATAGGTGTTGAACCTTTGAACTCCCTATTTGTTACAAGGAAGCGAACTATATAAAAAATTCGAAAATGGAAACATCAAACAGCTACAGAGTTTCTTCAGATTAACAAAGTTTTCGAAACCAGACAGATAAACGAATTGTTCCAAGAGTTAAAACATTAACGTTATAAAATGTGTCTGTTTATGGATAATTGGTGCGATCTCAGTTTCTGAGGGGTGCGAATTAAATGCCAACACACATTCAACAGACATGGGACAATAATAAAAAACAAATGTTACTGAAATACAGGAAAGAGCCTTGGTAGTGTTACTTCAACCAAAAAATGCGGTTGACTTTCAAAAGTGGCGCGGAGCTAATTTCTATGTGAGGAAGACTGATTTTCAGACTTAAACTCAAGCATAACCTATGTATTTATGAACGCATTTTAAGAACCTTATCTTCTCGGCTATTGTTGGCACGCCAAGACGAAAGATTTGGCTCTCCAAAAAGTTGCCTACATTAGGAAGGCACGTTAGGTGACGTATTTTATGATTTTTGAACTAAAAATTTGAAGAATTACCTAACTTAAGAAAAACAACATAGGCGGGCTTGTAATATTGATTGACATGCCGCAAAAACAGAAGACATTTTAGTCAAACCGGGAAGCCAGTTTTTTGAATATTCATCTTTCCGAAAACTTACAAAAACCACAGTCGTTACATAATGACTTGTTGGGAATTTTCATTTTGATTTTCGATGCACAAATATATATGGATATAGGCGAAAATGCCGACCCCAGGTATTGAGATCTCTTTACCTTCTTCCACAAATATATATATACTTTTTAACTTGAAAGAAAGGTAACATTCTGCTTCCAAAGGTTTCTTAATTTCCGACTAATTTTGAACCCTACCCGCCGTTTCACATACGCTTAGACTTTCAAAACCCAAGGCATATACTTTGTGCCTAAGTATCGTACCATGCATTCCTCTGTACTGTTAAAAAGGTTCTACACAAGAGCCATAAAACTTTACAATAAGTATGAACACTGTTCCGGGCATTATAAGGAACATTAATAAACTGATGGTTAAAGTGCTGTTTAAACACATATTTCATGGTCAGAACAAATTTCGAAATTATAAACTTTTAACTTCGGGACTCCGTTTATATAAGTTTAAAATTTTAAGATATATGAGGACAAAAATGACATCTTTGTGCAGGTTTTCTGTGCAATGTTTTTAAATGATAGGGGCTTTGAGAAGCATTGGAACAAATTCACACTTCCTAAGTAGCAAATTTTCGTCAAATGGTGTTTTGCAATGTGCATCCAAAAGTCGGCGCCCTAGCGTAATTGCATTGTGTTGTGTTAACGCCGCATGCGATTCATTATTAGAGCCCGGTTTAAGTGACTCTTTCTGGTGGAAATCACCTTTAAGAATTTTCCCCAACTTTTCATGACTGGGTCATCTGTTGTATTAACTTTGCCTTAAATTTCAGGATGTGATTTTCCATTGACTCACATTATCTTGAAAAAGCTTGCAATTAAGTAGTATCAACCATCTCCAAATAGGTTGAGTAGAACATATTAGCGCTGAAAAGCCGCTTTTAAATATCTTAATTTTCGTTAGAAACAGAAGAGATCCATACATCACCTTTTGCCTTCTCTCAAAAATGCGATTTACAAATTTATTCTTCACTGAAGATGTGTTTTCTGTAGAGAGCTTAGCACTTACGCCTCGTGCGTCAAACCACAACCCACTGGGTCTTCTTCATGGAAGTTTTTCTGCCTTTAAAAATTCAGTTTGATTTGTTCGGATACCCTGTCTTCTGGTATCGTGCGCCTAAGCAGACGAGCTGAGATGTGCAGGCGCGGTTTTTTCCTGAATACCCTAAACGCACTGCGCGGTATCTCTTGAAGCCACACAGGATTTAAAATGTATCCATTAGTTACGGGCTGGAAAAAAGGCCTGAAACCTTCCCCTGTTCTAGATCTGCGGAAAAAGCTAAATGCACTCACCGTAAATGTTGGCTAAACCAAAGTATGTTTAAAAAATTACTTGCGCCAATATCACATCCAACGTGCTAGGGATGTTTTAGAGATGATCTCATAAGAGTCGTTTTTTCGAAATGATTTCCTAGTGGCGTTTCAATTCTGAACTCGCAGATCTGTGATTAGCGGCTCTGACGTTCACGGAGGAATTACAGCAAGGTACCCTGCACAAGCGAGATTTAGCTTGCTATCTGAGTACGCAAATGGATGCCTAGGAAACATTTCGAACTGAGAAAACCGAGGGCAGCGTTAGAAAACTACTGGACATACTCCGGAAGAGTTCTTTTTCTGTAGTATATATTTTCAAAAAGTGGACTGACCCAGTGGCCTTATTACGCATGACGGTTACCGGAGAGCTGTCAGTGGAAGAATCTTGAAAGCAGTGCCATACGTAAAAAGGGGTCACCGATACGAACTCCTGAACGCTTAGACTTCTTGGACTAATGGTAAATCAGGGATCATGAGCCACACTGCGTTGGCGGGCGACATAATAAAAGACCTTTTGCCTTATGGGCGAAAATGTCTATGACCTATGGAACTGTCGCATAAACAGTGATTGTAGTTAGTTGGAGTAAACAAGGCAAACGTTTCCGAATCGCCTGCTGGAATATATTTAGTGACGCGATGCGTAGGTCTGAACTCTTAGAAGCCTGCTGAAACTGGACGCACGTGACAAGGACGCTACAAGGTCCATCGATCAGGGCACTGCGCGGGGCGATCGGCTCGCACCCGATGCCCGCGTCTCGAATACAAAACCTTTCCATCGACATACTGACCGTCATCCAGCCTTCCAAGCCATGTGTCACTGCCTAAACTAGACGTATTTGATGAAAAGAACTAAAAGTGGCCAACCCGCCACGTCCACTAATAGCCAACAAGAAGCCATCCGCTGTGGCGATGAAGAGCAGGAGAATCCATTTGTCTGCACAAACCGGATCTCCCATTCGGCACACATGCGCTCATCACACCGAGACAGAAAGCATCTATCTGTGGCATCGATGCGGCCAGGAAATGACGGGAAAATTACAAGCTTATGGTTAGAGTGTCCTGCAGCCAACAATACGTATCCACTGACAGTTGTGTTACCCGTTGTTCCACAGTGAGTCGCAGAGCTAACAATCTGTAACGTCAGACGGAAAATATACGTGATCGGTAATCCCCTGGGTTCTCCTTGCTTTGTTCTGAGACTTGTTGCTTTGACTACTTACTAAATTCATTGTACTATGCACATTTTTCGGAATGCTCAATCTGAACAGAAAGCGAGAACATGAAGGAAAGAGACACATTAAATCATACGCGGACAGATCACTCAGAACTAAACATAGCTCACTGTCTCAATAATCTCTGTTTCGTTTTTTGAACAGCACATGCAGACATTAACAGCACCTTGGCTCGAATGAGTTCTTTAATATCCTAGAGGACTTTTAGTCATAGGTTTTAAGCAACCGGATAATTTGCACAGACAAAACACAGACACAGATGTTTCAACTTGGTTTGCGAGAACTCGTCAAGTGGGGTGAAATCATTTAGAAGAGAAATATGGCCAAATTTTTCACGCCCGTTAGTCAAAAGCAGCTGCGGGGTGTTGGAGCCTGGCTTTTGTATTTTGTTTCCTGGTACACACTCAAGCAATTGCAATTTATGAGTTATGACATAAATTGACTTCAGGTCCAAAGATGTTTCAGTATGATCTCGAAGTTTGAAGATGAGCCTCCGTTTTCCCGAAACCGATGCGCTTTCTATTCGTTTAAAACCAAAATCCGGCTAGATCGCAATTGGTAGCCACGAATGGAAGAAGCAGACGGCGACCTTAAGCCTAATCCTAACTTTAACCCTAACCCCAACCTCAACCTTAAACGTCAACCTTAACGGCAACTCTAACCCTAACCAAAATCGCAAACCCTTAGACTTAACAGTAACAGAAAAACCTAACCATAATACTGAAACCTAATCGTACGCTCAAACCCTAACCGTAACCAGAAAACCAAGGCCTAAAGGCATTACCCTAACCCGAAAATTGGACACCATCAACCGATACCCTAATCCTAACCTCAGACGTAAAACGGAGGCCAAATGGGTGAGATGTGATTATGGAACCCCACAAAATAGCCTCAGTAAACAAACCCCCCAGCCACCTGTAATACGGGGCCTGGCTACCAACTGCGATCTAGCCCGAAAGTCTGTTGCATTTCCGACGGCGGCATTTAAATCTTTTTCTAAAATCACGTTGACGCCTGGTATTTTTAAAGTAATGTTTTTCCCTCATTTTCTGTATTTTGAGGAGTCAGCCAAGCGACGGGTTTCTTCTCTACCACTTTCCAAACTGCCAAAATATGGTGAAAATATTTTGCAATGGTGTCCCATACGCGATAGTATTAACCGTCCGCGCACCGCTAGTCGGATGAAAGTTTAAACGCTTCCCGTTTTTCCATGTCTACTGCAGATATCAGAAAATTCTGACTGTGTGACAGACTATGCTGCGAATTAACATTAAAATTAATAACGCGGGCAACTTATGGCGTAACGAACCGAAAATGGTAACCCAAACGGTTGTGTTATCATTGGCCACATAACTTGCGCGTGTCTTCATAAGTGGCTTAATTAAAGTAGACAGCTAATTAAGTTTAGGTTCCTGTTAAATTAAGTGTCAGTAAAGTGCTGGCTAATAAACTCTATGCCGCGGCTGGTTTTTTGCGTGGACAAATATATTAGGCGACCTGAATTACGCAACAATTGTCAGTTTTATCTTATTCAAAACCTGCTAAAACGTTTAATATTCATCAAACAACTCCTTATATCACAGCAGCCGATCGAAATATATAAATCAAATAACGCAGTGGAAAAGAAAAACGCAAAAGAATTGCTGAAAGTGGCATTGTGTTGGCTGAAAATGACGGTATTCTAAAAAAGTGGAACTTGCCGATGCTAACAAAAACTTATGTAGATTTGATAAAACTGCATAATTTATATTAATGCAAACGACCAAGTAAATGAAACTGCGTAGACAAAAGCAAATTAAAAAACTTCCTTTAGCTTAACATCGGGACAGGTGTCCTTTTAGGATTAATGCAATATGTAGTATGACAGCCAGTCAGCTGCTTGCTGCATAGGGGAGCTTTTCGAAATTGTACTGCACATTTTGCATCATTTGACATGCAAATTTTGGAACGCGTTTTTGCCTAAAAAGCGCTTACGTTAGTGAGTTTGTAATATTTACTATCATGCCGCCCAATCCCAAGACATTTCATTCACGCCTGAGTGCCCTTCTTTCCGACCGTTTGCAAAAGTCACACTTTATAAAAAGGACCACTTACGTTATAAGAATTCTTAAATCGATTTCGTTGTCCTCAAAATTCTCAGCATAAATTATAGATAGCGCGTTAAAAATATCTTTCTTTTTCATGTTTGGGTAGTAGCATATGTTTTCTTCAAGTCCCATACTCAAAGGAAACGTGTACGTAGGCTCGTAAAAATAGCTCCTAACTTCCCGAATAATTTTTGACCCAACCTTTCATCACACCTGTTCTTTGGGGCTTCAGAAGGCAAGCCGCATGCATTTCTTGCTAGGAAAACTATGTATTCTTTCATGTAATTAAAAAGGTGCTATTTATCGCTAGTAAAATATTGCAACAGATAAAGGGCATATTGCATGTTTTACGGGGATCATAAATAAACAAAAAGCCGCCATGTTATTGGAAGCTGCGTTTTACGGCCATGAATATTCTTAATTGGAAACATTTTTAAAAGCAAAAGCTATTTTTTCAAACAATAAGCAGACGGATTTCCCTACCGAAACAGAATAAAAAGAAATACTTTCATACATTTTAGCTAAAAATATATTTGAATTTAAAAGAAAATCAAAAATCGGGGGTAAAATCATTTCTTAACAAATAATCTTTTTTAGCAAGGCTGATTTTTTAGGCAGCCTGTAAACTCCATCCAGAAGACACCACTCTGGCGTGATTGAAATATCTTTAAGTCATGAGGCATAATAATCAAGATCCTAGTCTCATCCGAGTAATTCTTTCAAATCGTAAATGCACTTCAGAATGTTGATTATTGTTTACTGAAATATGTCACCTATTGAACGTGGATAGATTTCGAACTTTTGTTCCTCTGCAGATGACGGCTTCGAGGCATTTTAAAGGTTGGCATGGAAATAATCCCATATGATGACGGAAGCCTATGATTAATATTTTCTAGACGGAAAGAGAACCCCTCGTTACTAAAATATTTTCGAAGAATAGCCTTGCCGCGGTATCTTTAAAATGACCTACACATTTATTGATTTTTCAAAATAGCTTTTGTGGATAAATTGTGTAATTTTATCCCTTTTGCTTCCCCGGGAAACATTAGCAGTGTCTCTGCCTCGAACAAAAAAATCAGTTAACGTTTAACTTTTGACGAGTTACGGTGTTTTTACGTAATGTTTTGTCCAATCACGGGAGAAAAAATATGCTAGAGGGTGATTATATGGTTAAAGGAATATATCTGATACGACCAGTACGGTACCTGTGTGTTGGTTAAGTTGCGTATTAGTTGAAAACACATGCATTCATTCAGCGATATCCTCAGTAGCTTCAATTACCATTTAATTAGATAAATCCCGTGGTTATATGGAGAATATTTGCTAAGGCCTCAAGATCAAAGTCGTTTTAAAGTGAAAATTGGATCTTGACGTCATATACCATGTTTTAGGCTATTAAACTGCTCTCATTTGAAGGTCAGAATTAATATAGAAAAGAAGTAGCGCTGGCTTTTATATAAATAATATGAGCGTTCACGCCTTGCCTTGTCTGATTTAAGATGATAAATAATCAAGTTTCAAGTTCATGATGGCCATTTGGACAAACGTTTAATATTTAACTCAATTTCTTGTGCAAAAATTTGTGCATGTAGGCAATAAACGATATAGGAAAGTGTCTAAATATAAGTAGGAACCGGTTATCACCTAAGGATGCATGCTTTTTTCATACAGTAACCACAAAAAAATAATGTGCGTGGAAAAGAACTTTTAGTTGAGTTTCGGTCACGATATATCATCCGTATTGTTCCCAGCTGATAATACGAATGCGAGAATCACAGAGTTAAAACGTGCTCATATGCTGGACTGGAGCAAATCTTCCAAGTTAAGTTTTTCATTGTTTCTTCGAATTTAAATTTCGTGTAGTGGCCAGGAAATACTGCAGTGAATTCCTGCTGACTAAGGCAAGACGGGGTTCCATGCAAATCTGTTAGGAACAACGCAAGGAATGACTGCAGCATGGGAATTCCGAAACTCACATGGTTTTTCCTGGAAACCATTTTGTTTCATAAATACGGTCATGAAATACTCACCGAAATTCTGAAATGCATTTGTAATTAGGGAGGATTATTTTTGTGGGGCCATAAGATTGATCATCATGCAGCATAACCCCAAGATGCTTTAGTCACGGCAAGACTCCGGCATTTGAATGCACCTCATTCGGTCGCCTGCAAAACGCGCACTCAGTAAGAACTGGCTATATAAGTAGCATGATGTTTTCCACTGATTTTCGGTATCCATACAAAGTCAGAAAATTTCGTAGAAGACATGTTCAGAAGTATGTTTTTACTCGTTTAGCGGAACATGAAATGCTTTTTAAATGTTATACTCGAAGAACGTGCATCATTCTGTTCTAAAACGTTCGCAATTATGAGAAATCTTAAGATTGCAGGATGTCCACTCTAATAAGATCGTACATGTCCGTTTATTATTGCTGCCTGTGGCGTATACACCACAGTGCACATCCACCGCAAAACCCTATGAGTCCTATATGATACCTCCCAAATGGTATGGAATTACTGCGCTTTCCTTGCAAGAAAAGTATCCAGCTCACAGGCTGTAAACCCTGAACACTAATCTAAAAGTAGCTCGACCTCAAAATTATTCGGGAAATGAACAATTTTCAAAGCCTAAGTGCATCCTCTCCTGGAGTATATAACATTTAGCTAAACATGGGACAAGAGAGTGGTTATGTATAACCACTTCTTGCGTAATATATACTTGAATTTAGAAACGGGCCGAAAATAAAAGGACAAGTTTTGCTCTATATAAGTAATCATTTTTTTACCGCGTGCAGATTTTGCAGGCTGCCGAATAGAAGTGCATTCAAAAACCGGGAACCTGAATTGACTAAAGAGATCTTAGGATTATGTTACAGAATAATTATTTATTCAAAACATTTTAAGCAATCCTTCCTAATCGGAAACACATTTTACAATCTCGGCTAACATTTTGTGAAATCGGTTACTGACTGCATATGACACTTAACCAGCCAAAGAGAACGTGCTTTAGTGTGTTTTTTCGGCTGTGTGATTTTTTTACTATTAAATGTCATAGAAAACATTTTTCTCATTCCGTAGATTATGTCAAATTCATTTTTTTCTTGGAAACCTAAGTTTTACCTGCTTTAACTTCGGTCTCAATGTGCAGTCAAATGTGCATTAAAGACCCGGTAGAAATACGGCGGAATATTTATCATTTGACAGAGAAGAACAGAATTTAATCGCCAAAATAAGGATTTTATCCGTTTGACGTTTCAGATTCCGTAGTGAGTCCATAGTTAGAGGCAGCACTTGAAGTCGCATCTGATGATCAATCCGAATGAAAAACTGAAATTCAGAGAAAGTAAATCCTCACTTCCAACGATTACCTCTCCTTCTTATTAACTGTTGCTCGAAAAATCACATTTTGCGTACATCGGCAATCGGTCGACGCCTTCCATTCGAAGGAAATTTGATCAGTATAACCGAACTTTCATTAAATTCTGTTCTAGAACCAATTTCTATCTTAAGTATTAAGTGAAGAGGCAAGTACGTTATGCTTGCATAGTCCTGACAGCCTTTCTTAGGAAAACAAGGCTCCGACTAAAGGCATGTAGATGTGCGATGACCTGAAATTTTGCAACGTGACTTCGGTTCGAAAAGATGACCTAAGTAGTGTTGAAAGACAAACTATCGTGCGGCATAATCATGGACCACATCCACCGCAAACTTTTAAAGCTCTATTTTGCGTCTTCTTATGAGCATTTATAAGTGTGATTTTGCTTGCTGGGGCGATGTACAGCTTGTGGATTCAGAAACCCTGAATACAAGTGTACCGGCAGGTCAGGTTCAAAATTATTCGAGAATTGAGGTTCTTGACGCCAAAAGATCCTTTTTAAGTGCTAAATTTAAAGGAGACGTAATTTTCTACCTAATTAATACAAGGACTATTTTTGCGCAGGTTTTTCATAAAATGTCTCAATTTCTAAAGACATCAAAAGTCCGTAGGAAAATTTCATGCTACTTAAGTAGCAATATTTTAGGAAATAATTTATAGAACAGCCGAAAAGAAGCTCTTCCAAAAGTCGGCATCCTGACATGACTCAAACATTTTAAGATTATGTTGCCTGAAGTTAGACATGTGGCCTAAATTAAGTAGTCACTTGGAATGGAAGACACATTTCAGGATTTCAGCCAATATTTCATGAGGCAACAGGTTTACTGTATGAAGGAATGCTTTTCTTATTGAAAGATAAAGCAAACTACATAGTGTTTAGGAAGGCTTGAAACTGTATGCTCAAGGACTCACATTTAAAAAAACACTTGAATTTATAGGGAACGCAATCTACCCAATAGTACTACCCTAAACTTTGTATAATGCCGCAACCGCATCGCTTCCTGCGAGCAATCTTCTCCTCAAATAGTCAATCGTAAAAAGGTTTGCTAAGATTTCCATCCCATATGAGGTTATTTCTGCTATTCCTATCAATCTTCTTTGTAGTCGTTTTTACGCGCAACAAAAGTCTATGCTTCTCAACTCTTCGAAAATCTTCCTAGCTTTATTCATTTGCGCGATATATAAGGTGCCGTCGAAATCTTTTGATTTTGTTTGCAATTTTGGGGACAAAATAGATTTCATTCCCACAAACTTTGACGCCGGGACTTTTAAACTCGTATTGCCTGAGGAAACTGGAAAGGGCTGTCTAGAAATATGTCATAATTTAGGTAGTAATACGAAGACTGTCTATCACTTACATCAAGGTTCGATAAAAAGAGCTCACATGTTATACGTTTTCAGCGATATTCCTACTTTGCGTAGCATTTAAAAAAGTCAACATAAGTAAAAAAAAATCGGTGACCATCGAAATGTCTGATTGGTTGTCCGAGGACTTTATTTACTTGTTCTAAGCAAAAAACATTTTTTCCAGGATTTCTGGCCCGAAGTATTGATCCACTTCTCCAGGCCACTGTCTGCAACTGAAGACAAACCTCAGCTTTGATTTGGCGAGCAGAAATTATATTGTACCAGTTACCATCCAAACAGACAAGACCGACTTCGAACCCGCACTCTGACAGAACGTCCTCAGTTTTACTCCGGCGTCGCTCCCTGGTTGTACATTTTTTGCCCCATACGGTTCGTCTTCAGTCGTCTTTCGCGCAAGTGACATGGAAACCGCCTACGACGGTTCAGCCGCCCTCACTGTGTGCCTTAAAGCAGAGTGGGTTCAGGGACGGGACCTTGCGCCGTACCTGTCGTAGTCCTCCATTTCTCATCCGTCCGGGCCTGGTGTCAAAACAGAGTCTAGAGGACCAGAGGCAGAGCCAGGGGCGGGTGGCTGGCGGGGCGGGAGCCGGACTCTATGGGTGTCAACACACCCTCACCCACGACTAACAGTTGTTGGAAGTGCTCAGTCCAGTAGTGCGTGTCAGACCCTAATTTGTTCCCACGGGGCTCTCGTTGATGGAAACCACATACGGACAGCCTCCCAACACCGAATTCCCATGGGGAATTCCAATTCCTATTTTCCCCGTCCACAGAAAGTATCGTCAGCTACTGTTTTCTAGGGCTAGGACTGAACGCAAAATGGTGAGTGATCTGGGCGCGGTGGAGGATCTAGTCACCTGGCATGCTATGCGACATGCCAGTGACACGACAAAAGCCACCATCACAAGTTCTAAGGCCCAATACACTGGAGGGAAAAATCCGCGCTCTGTCGGTAGATCTAAGGAGCCCCCGTCGGGTGCTGGAACACCGAACGCCACCTCCTAGATTGAGGGCAAGTCCCCTAAAGCAAAATACGTCGGATGAACTTGCTAGTAGCCGGAGACGGCATACATTTGCGCTTTGCTTAATTTGAAATCGACATCACACGTATCTGAGCGTTAACGGAAAATGCAGTCAGACTGACGTTTATGGCCTGGTTCACGAGCACGGAATTTATAGACCATTACTACATTATCCTCTCCAAATGTTGGGCGCCACGCCTGTATCCCAGTAACGCCTATCGCTTGATCCCGGGCAAATGAAAAATGAGCATTAGTGTCGGCAATAAAATGGGAGTCAATGTGGGAGTAGCACCATGCCAAACATGAAAGACGAGATTATGGACCAATCAAGTGCCTCGAAAACCTCTCTAACACGCAGGTAAGAGGATTGGGGAGTGTTAAGGGCCTAAAACGCTTAAAGGATGAACAAAAGAGTTCGCATCACGTGGAAGCGTGTGTGTCCAACTGCGCTAAAAAAACAGTTATTTCTTCCTCAGTTTTTAGAAACTTTTATTCTCGTCCTCTTTTAAAATTTGCGCTGGTAATATTTTTCTTTAACGGATTTTTCTGAAACAATAGTTGTTTTATTTTAATTCTGAAACAAGCAGCTCCTGAATGCATTTATACTACGGATACTGCCGGAGCGTTTTTTTAAAAATGGCCTCAGGGCAGTTGTTTAGACCGGAACTCGATTAAACCCCTCTGAATAATTTAGAATGAAGGTAGAAGCGCGAAGAAGCACGGATCAAACAAGCCCACGCGCTGATCCAGGTGAAGAAAATAAATTCTTTGTGCCTCACATTCATAAAAGAAGCAAATTTTGAAATTGTCTTTTTGTTTCTGAGGTAAATGATGCGCGAACATGGGATGAATCCTTCGTATCAAGGCTTTTCGCGCTCGGTTCGACAAATGCTATGGGCATTCACAAGTTGTCGAGGGGCAGTCAGCGAAGTGCAAATACTTAGTGGTTCACCATATTAACAGTACAGATGATAGCTAAAAGCCCGAACACGCGTGTTTTGACGTTTTGGTGTCGATGCATGATGCGAGTGCGAGGGGTTCGACCCAATAGCGTATCCCCCGAAGACGCTTACCGTGTGCTTGCTGTTACTTTTAATCTCTAGGGAAATCAAACGTGGGACAAACCCCCCGGAACAAGGCCTGGTTCTAATCTTTATGTGCAGATCAGAAGAAAAGATTTTTATATTGGATGGGAAATCATCTATGCACAAACTGATCTTCAGAAAAATGCATGTAATGGAGTCATCAACGCGTGGGCGACAGGAATGAGAAATTTTTTTATCATGAGATGGGTGTTGGATGCGTTATCTTTTGTGCTCCCCTATGTACACCGACTCCTCTGAGGTATAAACTTGGCATTCAGGCAAAACTGGTTTGTGTAATTGACCTCATTATCTAAGAGTAGGCCTCCGTGGACAATTATAGGGCGTTCCCGGAGAATCTGTGAAAACCGACCCCCTGGGACGGTACCGTGTCAAACGTTGCCAAAAGTCCTATTGCCAACGTAATGCCTCACAGTGGTTGTTGTTTTGACCCATTTGCATGTGTCTCAGCCATGCAGAGTCTTGCCCTAATATGCAAGGCTACGAAACATAACTAACAAGTGTCTGCGGATGTTTCATCAAGAACACATATTTTCTCACCTAAATACTTGTTGTACAAGTTGAGGGTCATGGGCATCGGCGGCAAAATTCTCAAATTGATCGAGAATTTGTCCATCGGCCGTTCCCAAATTGTCCGCATAGAACAACAGGAATCAAGGCTCACATTCATAGAGAGTGGTTTCCCACAAGGCTCACTTCTCAGACCAACCCTCTTTCTCTTGTTCATCAATGATTGTGTAGATGGGTTGGACAGTGATAGTGCCATGTTTGCAGATGATATACAAATCCGGAAAGCCATCCAGAATGCTGCCGACGAGACCAACTTCCAGGAAAATCCTTGTCGATTGGATGAGTGGTCCCGCAGATGAATCTTGTCCTTCAATTTGAACAAATGCACCATACTGCGCCTCGGAAATCAGACCCATAGTACGCGGCAGTGCCATCTGAACGGAATGCCACTCCGGTAAGCGAAAACGCAAAAAGATCTCGGAGTCTGGGTTGCAGACAGCCTAAAGCCCTCTACACAATGTTTTAAGGCGGCTAAGGCAGCAACTTCAATGCTGTACGCCATCAAGCGGTCATTCGCAATTTTCGATGAAGACTGGTTCTCTCAAGTCTTCGGCACGTTTGTAAGACCGCATCTCGAATATGCAATTCAGGCCTGGAGTCCGTGGACGCGGCAGGATTACAGTCTACTCGAAAATGTGCAGAGGTGAGCAACAAAATTAATACGGGGTCAAGGTGCACTGCCATACGTGATCCGCCTAACTAAACTTAATCTCTATCCTCTGAGTTATAGGCAGTCGCGCGGAGACTTGATACAAAATTTCCGTATCGTGCGTGGCTTGAACTGCGCCCTTCGGTGCGACGAATTTTTCCAACTCGCCACTACAACTAGCATCCGGGGACATCCCTTCAAACTACGTGTGCCCCAAGGCAGACTTAATGTGAGAAAGTATTTCTTCTCCAGCCGTGTCGTGGAACCGTGGAATAACCTGCCCGAGACGACTGTCATGTCCCCATCTATGGAGACCTTTAAATGTCGGCTTGACAGACATACGCTGCAGCAACAAACGGACTTTGTGACTTTGTAGCCATGAGACCAGTGACCTGTGTGAATCAATGCCGTAATTTCTTCACATTTTTGTCATTTAAACGATTTTTATGTACAAACCGGGAGTTCACAGGCGTAAGCCTATTTCCATCAAATACACTGGCTGACTGAAGGATACTTCCTACAATGCCTGACGGAATTACTTAGACGGACGCAATTTCGGCGCAAAACTGATGGACAGTGTTGATAAACGTATCTGGTCATTTTGGATGAGTTCACTGCCGTGAGCCTTATTGGTTGGCCATGCACGATGCATAGAAATGACCTTCTCTCCAAAAAAATGTGTTTCTAAGTTATGTTTACTACAAACGCGATAGTTCGAGCAAAGCGATTTTGCAAGCTACCGAATATTGTGAACCGTCCATACATAATTACACAGGTTTTCCTAGGAACAGATGCAGGTCTGATCAAACGACCTAAGAGAGGACGTCGTTTGTGGACTCCCAAATTGACTCTGCTCTCTTTGTAATTAGTACGATGCACAATGTTAAAGGATATGTGTTTTTTGCAAAGTTACGGCTTTGCAAATTCGTGCAACTTCGTGTTCCAAAACAGAATAATTTTCCTGGCCCAGTTTTCATTTTACCAAACCGAAGGTTCTTAATTACAAATGATTATTCTAAAAATTGCTTTACGTTGTACGCTATGTCCGCACAACAGTAGCAACGTATGTCCAACGGGCTATGAGTAGTTTGTTCTATTACACCTGATCGCATATCTTGCGAACCATTTTTACATGCCAAGGTTCTCTCAGTGATGCATTTATTACAATAAAATATAGTGTAAAATTCAGTAAACTATTGACGAGAGTCCCGAACTAGATAAAAAAGACGTCCATGGGGTACAAAAACGTTTAATAATCAGTATGGAAAGTATGTGCACGTAAAACCTATTTATACCCCTTCTGGACGTTACTGTAAAAGAAAACGAATGACGCAGCCCTTCATCTATGAAAGTCTGCAAAAAATTATTTTAAGTCGGGTGCTATCGCGTAAACGGCTTTTCATCACTCGTACATCCTCATCGTGGAAGTTTGCTTTTTCAATGATGCGAATACATTTGCAGCTCCGGGTTAAAATAGGACGAAAACTTTAGATGTGGATAAGTCTGTAAGCACCATTAAGGTACAATTTACCGTGTTAGCTTCAAGACCATGAATCAGCTAAAAATACGGAAAGTGAGATATGCTCAGTGACAGTTAAAGAGCACCTTCAGCCTCGACGGTTTCCAAGATTACTGTATAGGTGCTTTTAATTCCTGGAACGGTTTCCCCTAATAGAGAGAACATTATAATGTCACTCTCCTATTTGCTACTTATATCTATTGCCTAAAAATAGATTAAATTTAACTCAAAATAGCAATACCCGGTTTTGAGTGTTTTAGCTACCACAGTTTATTTTATTTGTTCGCATTTTCACATCACTCCTTATCTTTCACTGTACCGGATATATATTTTGAATTGTGCCAGTTTCAGAAATTCAGGGCACTGCTAAAAATACTCTCTTTTAGAAAGCTAGCATAGCCTACAATACTGTGTTGTGTTTCTTTCAGCTTTAGGTCGTCTACATTTAATTATACGTTTTACTAGGAGTATTGAAAGATAATCTGTCAGTTACCCAAGGCAACAAGCAACTTTCCGAAAATTTCGCGTGTTTGACCGTGTACTGTAATGAATGTTGGTGATATCTGCCTCTTTCATTAACCCCGATTATTTTTACTTACGTCGTCAATTGAAGAAAAGCGTAAGTCACAAAGACATCAAAAAATCATTATTTAGGTTAGAACCCTCGTCCTAGGCCGACTCACAAATATAAGTGGTTGCTTTTTTCATGACAGGAATCCTGACATCCAACGACGATAATTTCCATTTGTTTGTAAAATTCCTCTCTCATAATCGTAATACTTGTGATGCACGTTTAATGCAAACACAATTCGAATTCACCTGCCTAGCCATCAATTTTGTTTTAATTAGAGTGATCTAACCATCGCGAACAATGCCGTCCACCGTATGCTCGTAGCATGGCGGGCGCAGAAACGATAACTTACGCGTGAATTGATTTATTGTGATTGCAAACTTGCGCAGTATTTTCAGCACTCTCTCCTCCTCCACACTCCTCTGTGCGACGGCAGTACTAAGTCCAGACGACGAGAGGTGAGATCGATTGATTAATAATTATAAGCTAGGCTGAATTAGCCGAGTTACGGCGTTCGTGAGCGAATACCTCGGTCACATGTGTCGAACACACAGTGGCCCAGCTGGGGTTACTAAAACACTGTCGCTCTCGGCTTAATTTCTTTCCCCCATCCTTGTCGTCTGTAATTAAATGAAACTAGATTAGCATTACGAAAGCATAGTCCAAGTTGTTAGTTCAGCCTTTGCTTGAAAATGCTTCGTGATTCTGTCTGTATAGGAAATCACTGCGACGGCTGAAGCATTTGGTTCAATGTGAGTAAATAAAAGTATGAATTTTCATCGAATGAAATAAAGGTCACATATATCTCATTTCTCACCTCGCTGTTCGAAGTTTTCTTTACTGCTCCAGTTTTCACTAAACACAAAGCGGAATGTGTTTTGTAAAAGTTAAAAATTTGGTTTATCAAACAAAGTTGTCTACTACAATCCTGCATTTTTTCTAAGTAGGTATGTGGATTTCTAACTTATGCAACCTGACCCTTCGTTATAAATGCAAAGTTAGTAGCATTGACTTAAAACTTCATCACCTGTCTTGACCAAAAATTAATCAAGCTCTTCGCCTGCATTTTCTCTGTTTGATTATCGCTATCCCCTGTCCCACCATTCCATGGTAGCGTCTACAAGCGGTAACACCAGAGGCCGAAAAAATCGTTTGTTTGAAAAAGATACAGTGCTATAAGAAATAGAAGGTAGTGGTATGCATGCCTTTTTAAAAAGAGTATATATTTCCTACCGACAAAATGATATTTAAAATAAATTGTGTGCATTCAGGCTGAATGTTTTTGGAGACGCTAAACGGTTTTCCACGCCTAGTTTGCCCAAGTTTTTATGTTTAGATGGGTAATTTAATCAGTCATAGTCTACTGCTATAGTGATGAAGAGAGGAAATTGCTGGAATACCTTGAGTTTTTTGAGTTTTGTTCCCCAGTTACCTCGCTTGACAGTCCGATGATTAATCGCCTGAGAATGTCGCTTGGTGAAGTGTTCAGTCCCTTAATGAAAATGTATTTTTATACTATATTTTCCCTTAAACGTGGTGAAAATGAACAACTTTATGAACTGTTAATCTGCTTTTAATTGACTTATTTGTCAGCAGAGGAATTTAGCTAGTGGAAGAACCAACTTACCAGGTAGAATTGTGAGCAGAAAATGGGTTATTTTACCCCAGTTTCATTTGAGACTTATGCAATGCCAAGGCCACAAGACGCTATACTGCTGGTCTTGTGGACACAGTAACGCGTCTAGGTTGCCCACTCTGTGTTATGTAGCCGCAGTAATAAATCATTAGAAACTGAACTAAGACCTGCCCACTGATCTTACGATTATTAGATCGTCTCTTCTGATTATAATCCCTTTCTGTGTATTATACCCCAGGATTTCAATAATAAATATGCTCGAAAGACTAAAGAAGCCAGCTGGCTGTATGTCCATGAGGTTCGAAGTCCTTTTGTCCGGATGATGTAGAGAATTAAATGTTGTATTCCGAAAATTTAACTGAATCATTTCACAAAAGCAGCAAGATGTAAATTTCGATTGGAGGCAAAAAAGTAAGAATACCACCGTGATACGGCAAATAAAAAATAATCCCTTAAAAATATTTACTATTATTTTTCCCGAAGCACTGCGGCGATGAAGAGTTTTAATGAAAATGACCTACTGCGTTGGGCAGATTTTTAAAAAATCCCAATTTAATTGTGCATTTATGGGGCACGCTAGAATTAAAAAGCACCCTATAAATTCTGCAATCTCAGCAAATAGGTTACTATATGCTTATGGATAGCATTGACACAAGGCTGTTCAAAGACCAAAGGAATCCACAGGACGGTTTGCTTTTAAAAATACACAAATCGCCTGCCCAAACTAAAGCAAATTAGTTTATTCTGTTACCACTAAGTTAGGCAAAAACGCATGATTTTGCCAACAAATGCAAGCTTAATTTGTTTGAGGAAACGCAGCGATTGCAAAACAGCAAAAAGAATAACAACTGATGAACAATGTCCGTAATGACGTGCCGTACTTGCCAGTAGATGCGAGATCCCCTAATTTCTTGCTGCTGTAGTCAGTTTAAAGGACGAATTCAGTTTCTTCAAATTTCAGAGAGTTATACCGTCTTAGTGGTGATGAAGGCTTTCTATTGGCCACTGACGGGAGATGCTGAAGTAAGTTATTCGGAAACGTATATAAATACTTCATCATTGTAATCTTCGAAAGACTGTGCTGGGAAGCTCAACTGAGGTAACTTAAAAAATAGCAACCTGTGGACCTATCAAACATAAACGTCCAAAATTCGGACATCGAAATATGAAGTCTCAACTGAAAGTAGTAAGGAATGCCTCGCAGTACTTCTGCGTCAATGCCTTTTTTCAATTACACGTGTCTCTGGGTATTGCAAACGGCGAACTAAGTAAATGACCATAGAACTTTTCTAAAGAACGCTTGCTTCGCGGAGGTCTTTTCATTCAGGCGAGACTGTGTTAGGTAGAAAAAAAACTCCCTCCATTATGCAATCTACTACGGACCAGTGGTTTTGATATTCCCTTTGGGGATGTCGGCTTCCGTTGAATTGTCGGTTTGAGTTGTAGACAGGCCTACCACCCACACACACGTCGCTATTCTAATTACACCAATTAATGCAACCCCGTGAACACTCGTTTTTTCCTCGCGGCACGACGAATTAGACGAACATCCATTGAGGAAAAAATAATTTATACCACGATGAAAACAACAACAAGATTCGAATCTGGGATTTTTCGCCTGCATCGTCCCAGTGGGCTTAATTCTCATGGTAGTAATCGCGGTAAAGCATTCGCTTGATTACTCGGATGAATTCGTTCGTTTTCTGAAAACAAACTGGTTTCAAGCGTGTCTAATTAGTCGACCGGCAGGCAACGTCATCCATCCGCTACTGTCTAAATTCTTTCTCGTTTTTACTCCAAATGTTGGGGTTGTTTTCACTTTCATGTGTTGAAGTGATGCATTCCTTGTCGAGCAGAGTACCAGCTCGTCTATAAAATCAGAGAGATGTCATTCTTCGTCCATCTTCAGACTCTCAGTTCCCTAGATCGCATAAAGGTTGATGGCATATTTATACTCTTTTGCCTCGAGTAATGAGAGTACGAAAATGAGACTTTCCTACATCTTTCGGGACGATTTTTCAGATTTCTTGGCCTCTTTGGTCCACAGTTGCCGCTACACTGTGTGCTCTTGTGATTGTGGGTGTGTGCGTGTGCTTTGGTTCACACCATTCAGACTCAAACTTAGGAGGTTCAGAGTTTCCGAAATGCTTTCGGGAGATCGGTTGGGATCACCGTTTATCATCCCGAGAAAGAGATTTTAAAAAATATCCCCCTCAGGACCAGACTGACAGACAATGTCAGTTGGCGTGAGTGAGGCTTTTTTCGGAACGCATAAAATTTCTGCATGATCTAATAGATGTTTTGAGCCTTGGCCCATTGATTCACCTAGGTTGAAGAAATTCTGCAACATAGTGTGCCTAATTCAATGAGCTTAGAAAGTCGGATGACTTAATTAATCGTTCATAAAAGTTTTTTCGAAGATCCTTCAACATGAAATTGGGATGAAATGCTAGTTCGAAATCAAAAGTAGGCGTTTCCCTTAAGTCCTCTCAATTCGCATTTCCCTCTCATTAAATCTGAACTTTCAGTTCCTTTGGATGCCTTTTTCCTGTTAAAATTAAAGGTAAGGATTCCTTCAATTTTACGCTTCTTTATAGTTAGCAGAAGACGAAAAACGTAGCTTTGTCACTAACTGCTTAACGTTTATCTCCAAAGCCATGAAGTATATTTAGCTTTTTTCAATGATCTCTGCAGACAGGAAACGATCTATGCTCTTCATCCTCCTTTGGCCTGTCTCAGTACTTTTGCCTACGTGTTTACAATGACTGAAATAACGACCCTAGCCTCAAAACGCTTCACAATTTAAACATTATCCACATCTGAGACCAACTGCCCCACCCCAAACAGTAAGACGACGAGGTTGTACGGCCCGACAGTTCTTTTTTTGAAAGTAATGCAAGCTTTAGCATGATCCTTGAACGCGTCCTGCGGTCACACAGACACGAACATAAGCAGGCTGTACGAAGGAGCGACAAATTATCGCGAGTGGCTGCCCCCATCTTCGAAAGGGGTCATGAGTTTAACGTCGCAGTTGCCAAAATAATCGCCCACGCCGGAAGCGAATCGAGTCCAACATTTACTAAAGTCTGAGCCGCGAATGGGAACCCAGCCAGTCAATAATTCGATCTTGCGCCGGCATACGGAGCCCTGCGCGGCCACCTCCAGACCTGTGTCACTTATCGCTGATTGGACAAGTACACCCCAGGACTGTCGCTGGTTCTGTTGCTGCTGTCACCTCCGACAATGAACTCCCGCAGGAGTCCGAAGGCTCAGAAGAACGGACAAACTGTCCCAGTGCTCGACTATCTTTATACTTCTTTACTTATAAGTACACCTGGAACTCAAGCATTCCCCTTAATGCGGGAAAAATCACGCTGTCCACCTCTTTCTTACTTGCACAGGAAGATCGGCGCTTGAGTAACCATACATTTTCTGTAGCCGCGTCAGCCAAACGTACCCTTCCCCAGATTTAGGGGACCTGGGATCTGAATTCGGTTTCTTTGGTCATTGGGCGTCAAGTCCAACGTTCTACAATTGAGTCACGGACATGATGTCATGTTAGTTGGCCATACCAGTCTCCCCTATCTTTTTCGGTACTTCCTGGCTACAATTTTTATTGCTGACTGATTTCCTATCCTACGTCGGGCCTCCGCATAGACTGTAATCTTTCCAACAATTACGATATTTATTACTTATATTAAACTCTTGGAAGAGAGAAAAACCATACAGCTGATGGTGACACTTCCCGGTTTCTGGTTACATGACATTCACCTTAGTCTGTTTCACCTTAAAAGTACTTCACAATAGATGACTTAACTCACGAAACATTAAGTGAAATTTTGAAATGTGCTTCCGGTTAGAAAGATTACCTTTTTGGGCTTACAACATTGCTTGACATGCAAATTTTATCTATACCGGCTTTTGGATTAAAGTCTGTCGGATCACCCAGGAAATATATACTCTCCACAAATGTCTGCTTAGGGGCATGAGTTCTTTTTTCTATTCATCGCCCACGTCTCGTCGATTTGGACATTTTTTACAGAAATCGTGCACAAAAACATTCCTGCTCATACCTCATATGTGACAAGCAACCTCTTCTGTAAGTCATATGCCTGAAGAAATCGTATCTTTCCGGATTAATATATTATAAATGGAACATTTTGGGACCATGAAATGTTTCTTCGTTGTCTCTGGAGTACACAATGTAACTGATATCTGCTGTAAGG